AAGAACACTTTCAAACCATAATATGTGTGGGAAATTTCATTAAAATCGGAGATGGTAAATCCGAAAATTGCTGTTTTCTGTCCGTTTTGATATGGATTCACCCTTTGTTATTAAATTTTAATGAGTACAGTTTAAAAATAATCAGAGTCACACTGTTAAAAACTGGAAGACTATTATATTTTAAATTTTTTCTCGATTCGAGAAAATTACAGAAACGAGGTACAGAAAAACGATCAATAAATATTCCAAATTATAATAAAAGAGCTTTTAACCAAATATCCAGTTAAACTCGCAGAGTTTTACATTTTAGCCAAAAAAAAAGAAAAAAGCAACTTCTATTTCTGTCACGTCACGTACTTTAACTATTTATATCTTCGGGCCATTAAGTTCATTCAATTTCTTCTTTCGACCAATTATAGAGCTATTGAAGCTCTATAAAATGTTAATTTTAAAAATATTTTGGTACCATCGTTTTTGGTATTGTCAGTATTAAAAATAGTGGTTATTATAAAAAATTTTCTTTCCCTGTTTTAGTAGTATTCTTTATCTTTTTTAGAAAAATATATAATTTGAATTGTGCACAATAAAAGACTTATTTTAATAAGTTCCATCCTGGATGAAATTAAATACCAATGGAAGACAATTTTTATTAAAAAATGATAATAATAAATAGTTACAATCCTAGAAATTTTGGTTCTTTAATTATTTTCAAAAAACGGGTTTCGGGATACTCTATTTTTTTACTTTTTGATTAAAGAGTTTTACCGGTTTTAAAGCAAGGTGAAATGCAGTAAATATATCAAATAAAAACATATATTCATTATTTTTCACTTTTACATGAATATAGAAAGATTATTATCTATCGTCAACTGTAAAAATCAGAAATTATATTAAAATTTATATTATGTGAGTTAATGTTAGTAAAGACCAAAAATAATATTACTTAACTAAGCTTAAATGACTCCAATAGACTCAAAACCACTTCTAGAGTTGATTAATGTTAAATTACAGATCAGAAGTTGAATGATATCTTGGAAAAAATTGATATATACCAGTATTATGGTCCAAATAAATAATCGTAAGTGCCTCGATTATGCAGCAATCGTTACAAAATTATTTAGGAGTATGCTTTATGGATCCACAAATAATTCTGTAAAGTTTTTTTAAAAATCGGACCACATTTGACCAAATTCCCATATAAGTATCGCACTTAATAATCATAAATAAGCAATAAATTAACTAAAGTCTTAAACTAAATTTTATGAGAATCAATATAAACCTAAATTCATATAGACTTCCTTCAGAAAATCGGTGATCGTCTATAAATATTTTAAATATTTATGAATTAATTAACGATTATTTAAATTCATAATTATTTTCCATCCTACTAACAAAAAATTTATTTTATATATATTTTTAAAAACTAAAGCCTGCATATTAAAAAAATGCATTTTTTCAATTAAAAAAAATGCATTTTTTCAATTAAAACAAATAAGAAGTCTATATTCGCCTTTGCCGAATCTTATATACCCTTCACCATAATGTGTTTAAAAAATATTAATTTTATAAAATGTCAATTTATTTCATCTTCCCGACCCTGTCATAACTTAAGCAAAACAAGAGAAACAACAACAATGCTAAACGAAATAAAAAACAGAAAAAACAAAATACACAACGTAATGAAACCACAGCCATCCAAACATTAGAAACAATATACACAATAAAACAAAAACAAAATACACAAGGCGATGAAGCCACAGCCATCCAAACATATGAAACGAAATACATACACAAAAAAACAAAACACACATCGCAATGAAACCAACCTTTTATACAATAAGCAGTGTTGTTGTTGCTTTTTTGATGAAATTCTCAGAGGTTGTCTCGGATTTTTGCTCATATCTCCGTTATTTATGGACCGATTTTGCTGATTTTCAATAGGAAACTTCTCGAAAGTATGTCCAACAGAATTATTGAAGATTTGGATCCCGAAGATATCTAGGGTCTTCAGAAAATTGATTTCAACAAACACACAGACAGACGGACAGACGGACATAGCTTAATCGACTCCGCTATCTATAAGGACTCGGAATATATATACTTTATAGGGTCGGAAAATTATATTGTAGAAATTACAAACGGAATGACAAACTTATATATACCCTTCTCACGAAGGTGAAGGGTATAAAAAATGCATTTTTTCAATGAACCGAATTATTTGACAGCAGCAATCCGGTTTTTTAACATTCGAAAAAAAAACTCCGTACCAAAAAACAGGTAGAAATCGAGTAGTTCCCCAGTAAAAAATTTTTAGACTTTAGGAAGCTAAAAAGGGACCTTACTGCATCTGTATTCGCTTACTGAGAAGCAGGAAATAAGGGAATACCAATGATAGGAGTAATTTTATAATGTAAGCTGAAAAAAAAATTAAAAGCTTACTACTATCCCTTACAGAGAAGCAGATTGTAAGTGAAGTATTTAAATAATATTTAAGCTTACTCTTGTCCCTTTCAAGGAAGCAAGTTGTATTGCAAAGACTATTAAAATCGGCAGTTTTACCGAGTCTTTTCTGACAAAAAAACACATTTTAAATTACATAATAAAAAAATGTTTAGTCATCGAGTTGCATTTGCGCAGATAAGACGTGAATAAAAGTGTAAAAAAAAGTTCTTAGAAAATATAAAAAGATTTTATTATAAATATAAATCTATCTATCTATAATCTTATTTGCTTTTGGTTTTTCTTGTTTTTTTTTTAATACTTCTGCTTTTGTCAATGTACAGATTGTGTTGTTTTGTGTTTATGTTTTGATTTGTAGAAAAGTTAACGGCGTTTTGTGTTTGTTTTGTTTTTTCTTTTTGAAATAGTTAGTTCTGTTGTTGTTAAATAATATGCCGAAAGTGGTTGGAAAAAGACAATTTAATAAATTAAAAAGAAAAGAGGAAAATAAAAATTTATTTAATCTCTTGAAGGCAACAGAAAATAGTCCCGAAGAAATTCCAAATATCGAAATTGTTTATAATTTTGAGAATTCAGAACTAATTACATCTAGTTCTGAATTCTCAAAATTAGCTGTTGATAAAAACGGGACATTAAGAGAAAATATACGGGAATGGTATATAAAATATAGCCCATCTGTGGCAAGTACATCAGCCATTTTACATATTTTAAATAGTGTACATTCAGAAATACCATTGAGTGTAGAATCCCATGAAGAAAGGGTTTCATATAAGCAATACTGTAATAGCTTCACATCAGCTATGACTTCACGTCTTCTGGAAAAGCATTAGGGAAGAGTTTTTTGTAAACAATGAAAGAAGTAATGCCATAGAAACATGAAATAAGTGCTTACTTATAGCTGTTACTCACAGCTGAATGAAATCAGTGAAAACACGCTTCATTTTTTAAAAAGTAATGCTTCCAAGTGGGAATTCGCTATATAAAAATCATGCCTTATCGAAGCAGGTTTGTAAGGGAGAAAATAGCTTCGTTCCCTTACAAACCTGCTTGCATGTAAGCTCCAATTTTTACTGGGTCTCCTCAGTTACAAGTATTAGGTTAGGTTAATAGAAGATTGATGTAGTATACATCAAATCCGAAGAAATACTCTTAGGCCACTATCGAGCCTGTTGTGCGCTCCTTATCATGAAAAAAAGTTCACTGAATGAATTATTTTTCAGTGTTCAAAAACTCCTTTCGTTTCCTGAACGTAATTCCTGAGAATCTTCCAATCTGTGTTAGTCAGGAATGTTATTTCCGGAATAACATCACTTCCAAGATACTTGGATCTAACTTCGACGAATGCCTGGCAGTGGCAAAGAAAGTGCTCCAGAGTTTCACTGTTTTTTCCACATGCTTTACATTCATAGATGTGCTCGTAATCCTTTGTCCACTCAGAATACGGACCATCATACTAACTTCAGACTTGCTTATTTTGAGAAGATTTTTCGTCTTGCTCTCATCAGGGTCAGTGACAAGTAATGCGTTTTAAATACAAATGATGAGCACCCTGGTACTAAATTTCTATAATGTGAATAAAAAATATTTTTGTTTTCGGCTTTCATGAAATAAAAAATATTTGTTCAATTCACAATCGATGTTGTAGCGTTGTATGCGTTGTATGTCAGCAGCTGCTACAATAGTCATAACAATGTTGTTGGTATTTTCTATGCAAAAGCTCTATACAACTCCTACGACAATTTTTCATATGTTTTTCGAATGTTGTAAGAAAGTTTAGTGTTGCCAATTGTTTATTTCAACATATAAACAAAAAATTCAAACGATTTTAGCACAAAAAACGATAAAGTGGTAACACTGAAATCAAAAACAAACAGCTGTTTACCAAAACAAAAAACTAAAATTTTATTAAAAACAGTTTATTTATTAGTTTAAAATGTGGAATAAAGAAAATAAAAGAATTGAAAATTCAAAGAAATTAATTTGGTTTATTTCACATGTTTAATTAATTTAATATTTTTTGATTTTTTTATCTTTTGACATTGTTATCTATATTTGTTTTGATTGTTTTTTTTTTTTTCATTGAGAACACAGACTTATGACTTGCTGCAAATATCTGTTCACAATCACTGTTACTACACTTTAGTAGGTACAATATACAACTTGATTGTGAATTGAACAATTATTTTAAAGAAGTTTTAAAAAGTCTATTATTTTGAACAATAGAGAAATGATTTTTTGCATATTTTTACGTTCAATAAAGTTTAATAAAAACAATGAACTATTGTAAATATTGTATTTTCAGTATAGTTTTTAAGTAAATAATTAAAATTTCCAAATAACATTTATTAGGAAATTTTTTAAACAAATAAATATAAGTCTATTATTTATATTATCCTAATCTTTAAAATCTTTAAAACGTACGACCGTCACTCTTACTTGTTTTTTATTTCAGTTATTCTCATTGTATTGTAAAAATATGTAAAAAAGAAACAAACATATTTCTATTTCAGACATATTTACATTTTTAAATATTTTTTTAGATTTCGCGAGTTATAAACATACCAGGGCTCAACACCCGATCAAAATTTCGGGCAAATACATCAAAGACTTCAGCTGCATCAACATTTAATTTAGCAACACAAAATACTTTAAATGTACCAACAAGAGATTTCATAAAAAACCCGCAATTTATGTCCATGCTTGCAGTATTTGGAAATGGAAATCAGTTAACTGAAAGAGTAAGTAAAATGTGCTTACAGATATTGGAAGAGGTTTTCACAAATAATATTTATGGTACATATAACTGCCGGTCCACACTAGGAAACTTTTTTTGGGAAACTTTTGATTTTGCGTGAGAGAGAAAGAGAAAGAATATCATTCATCTCTCTCGCGGTACGGAGTTTCTCGTACTCGGAAACTCGTTTTGTTTTGTTATTCTTCTCATTCGTACAACAACAAATCAATGCAATTAATACGTAGTTTCTGAAACAAAAGTTTTTATGTGTGGACATTAAGGAGACTTCAAAAGAGAATTAAGAAAAAAGTTTCTCAACAAAAGTTTCCTAGTGTGGACCGGCACTAAGTAGTTCGACTACTTATTATTTATATCAGAGCAAGGCATTTTCTATGCACGCGTGCTTTTCGGCCGTTACTAAATTTACAACAACGTACTCACGCGCATAGTTGCCAGATGATTTGGGTGCAACATCGAGAAAAAAATCAAAACCATCAATTGATTTTTCAAAATCGTCAAAACTATTTTCCATAGCTAATAAACATGAGTCGTAATAGTCGTAAGAGTCGTATTAAAAATAGAGTATGAAAACAAACGAAACATTTTCCAAATGTTTCCATAATGTACAAAACTTTTCAAAATTTTTAAATCGTTTTGTACATGAGCAAAAGAAAAAAATACTTTTTAAGTGAGAACCCAGCAAAAATAAAACGAAGTACTCCAAAAGAATAACGTTTATCACCACTCCAAAAGTAGCCTTCTGAGGGAGTGATGTTTAAAGACTTCCGAAGAAGTGAAAACAATTCTATTTTTTCAATATTGAAGATACATTTTTTGTTCTTACATTTTTATGTGATAAAAAATTTTTGGGCTTTTGTAATAAATGTGTCTATTACCCTTATTAATGTTAATATTATTTAAGTCAAATTATTTGTATTCTATAAAACTACAATTTTACTTCCGAATAACTTCCAAAAAAGAGCATAAAAATTACTTCTTGAGAATGACTTTAGAAGTAGTGAATTTGGAAACAAATAAAAAGGGCATCCCTCCTATGACAAGTCTGTGTTAAAATCATCACTTCTTTAGGTCTTTTTCAGTACATCCGTGAAATAAATTCTACTTCTTTTTCGCTTCTTTGGAAGTTCTTTTTTTTGCTGGGAAAGAGCGAAAACAAAAAACTTGCTTTTGTTTGCCATTACAATCATACATTTGAGAACAAAACAAAAATGCAGAAACGTATTTTATGAAAGAATCATAAAATGTCCAAGCGGTAAAAATACACATTATGTACTCGCTTATCTAAGTGATATTTCTACTGACTGCCACAGTGGTGAAGCTTTCACCTATTCTTCCACTTAGATTTAACATAAAAGTGTCCTAGGCTGCCTCATCGATGTGCTCTCGCTTATAATGTAAGCCACAATATCATTAAGTCAAATTAAAATTTCATTTACATAATGTGTGGAGTTCTAAGCGAAGTTAATGAGACGCCTATAAGAATGTAATGTATGTAGATTACAATCCTATTTTGTTATAGAAAAAAATACATTTTTTTATATTTATTTTAAAATTATGCAATTTTATTTAAAAATGATCATCAAATAATAAACATGTATTATAGTTAATTCAATAAAAATATAAATAAACAATTTTAACGAAGATAAATGAAATGAATCTTAATTTTCTTTTGAAACTTTCGGCCTTTACAGATATTGGAAATTGGAAATTGTCAGTATTAAAAATGAAGTAAATTTACCCTAATTTTTAAATCCGTTTCTGCCATTTAGATCACCGCAATTATTTTAAATTTTTACAATAAAATAACTTTTTTAACAAAACACAACTTCATTTACAAAAGATCAATTTTAAACTGAAACAAAAAGATTCTTCTTTTCATGTAGTATACAAAAGAAAAATAAAACGGTACTTTAGTTCTGTTTTTTTAACCCCGTGTCTATATTAGACAAATATTTATTATGCTAAACGTCAAATTGGTATCATGATAAAAAATTAGCAGGTATAGACAGCATTTATTAGCGTTATAGCGTCGTTATGACAGGGTTGTCTAAACAAATGTTTAGACAACGTTGATAACAAACGTCATTGTATTGTAAAATTTGTATAGAATTTTGTTTTTGTGCAATTAAAAATGATTTTTAACATAAGTTTTAGTGAAATTAGTGTTTATTTACAAAATTTGCATTTAATTTCATTTGTTTCTGTAAAATATATCATTATTTCAGTAAAATTATCTGTGAGTTTTCGTGATAAAATCAGCATTTTGTTACTCCAATGCATTAACATAAACAAAAAACTAATAATTTTTCTGCCGACGTGCTGTGATAAATATTTGTCTAATATAAACATGGGATAAAGAAATAAAAACAAAAAACAACATTTAATCGTAATCTATGTTATAATTAAAGTGCATAATATGTAGGATTACGCATACATTGCACTCTAAGTACTTAGATTGCGCTTGCTTAGAACGATCTAAGTATTTTGTTTCATTTACCGCTGGGAATACAAAACCAAATGAGAAAATCGTGTTTGTTGTTTTGGTTTTATTTCTGTTTTACTCACTGCAAAAATAAAAACTAAAGTTTCGTAACGAAACAATTGCAAACGTTTCGTTTATTTTCGTACTCTGATTAAAAACACATTCATTCTTGTTTGAGCATTCATTGAAGAAGTTTGTGTTGTCGCATGTTTTTTGATTTGTACATGAAGATCTCTTAATGCAGTGATGCAGGGTGTACGTTTCACAGACAGGCATTTTGGCTGAAAACCCGGCCAAAATTATTAGAAATGTTTTTTGAGTTAATGGCTGGAATTTTTTGAGTGTTAATTAGGCCCAAGGATGAACCCAACTGATTTTGTTTCAAATCGGTTCGTGATTTCGCCTAGCCCCCTTTCAAATTCCACTCGCAATTGCACTTATTTACACATAATTATGCAACAATCATGATAAGATTTAACATGGATCAGTTCTGTGTACTAAGAAAGCATGGTGTAAAGTTTGTTGAAAATCAGATCTCATTTGACCCTAGTCCCCATATAAAGTCCCCTTTAAAAATTCACGTCTACGCTTGTAAATGGCTTAAAAACATTGGTATCGTGATGAAATTCGGTGTAAAGGTGTATTATGTAAATCTAAATCATATAACCAAATTTTATTATGGTCGGTCCGTAATTGTTGAAATTCGACATGAACAGGTTTAATGTGAATATCATCATTTTACCAGATTTTATATGATTGGATCATAAGTGCCCCTAGGTACCACATACGGCCCATTAAGAAAATCAAACATATATCTCATATTGTTATAATAGTCGATATACTTATGTAATTAAGTTTTTAAAGTTCCATGATAACATTGTGATACAAAAGTGAAAAAAAAAAATAAAATACTGGGGTTCTTATGTATATACCAATTACATTTTGTTATAGTCCATAGAGTACGAACATATTTTTAGTTTTCTCTAATCACTTCGTTAACTAACTTTTTAAGATCAAAAGATGCTAAAAAGAGCCATTTTTGAAGTTTGAATTTTGAAAAATCATAAGTTCGGTAGTTTTCAACCGATTTTTAAATCTAATATTTTGTATATATAAGGATAAAAGTGTTGTCTTTTAATCCAAGAAAAGAAATATTAATTTTTTAGTCAAATATCTGAGTTATGTTCGTTTAAGTAAAAAAACTAAAATTTTTTTAACAATTTTTCATCATGATCTACTTTGGGCATGGGACAGTAAGTTCATCTTTCATTACCTTCGTAAAAACCCATTAAGGAAGGTTTCCAAAACTTGTCATTTCATAAAAAAATCTATGGAAAACTGGATGAGTTATACTAAGTTTTCTAATAGCATTTTCCTTGATTTTTTTCATTTTTCCATACAAATTTATTTTTGCATAAAAACGTCTATAAACATTTTTTAAACTTCTTACAAAAAAACAGATAGATGAAAGTTTTTGTATGGAAAAACATGCAATATTTTTACAAAACTTAGCGCAACTCACTACTTTATTCATCGATTTTTGGAAACCCAACATATTGAGCTTGTTTTCAAAAGTAATAAAAGCTGATGTTACTGCTTCATCGCCAACAAGGAGGATGATGAAAATGAAAAATTGAGAAAAAAGTGTGAGTTTCTTTACTTAAATGGCCGTAACTCAGACATTTTACCGTAAATTTTGGATTTCTTTTTTTGGATTAAAAGGCAGCACTTGTATCTTTAAAACAAAATATCAAATTTGAATATCGGTTGTAAACTACCAAACTTATAATTTTTTAAATTTAAAACTTCAAAAATAGCCCCTTTCACATCTCTTGCTCTTAAAAAATTAACTAAACGAAGCGATCGGGAAAAATTAATGGTTTATTCGTACTTTATCGACTATAACGGAATGGTATTGGTATATGAGAAGGCAGCACTTGTGTCTTTAAAACAAAATATCAAATTTGTATATCGGTTGTAAACTACCAAACTTATAATTTTTTAAATTTAAAACTTCAAAAATAGCTCTTTTCACATCTCTTGCTCTTAAAAAATTAACTAAACGAAGCGATCGGGAAAAATTAATGGTTTATTCGTACTTTATGGACTATAACGGAATGGTATTGGTATATGAGAACCCCTGCACTTTTTTCGTGTATCACTGTGTAATTAATATTTATTTATAATATTTATTTTACATTATTTAATACTTAACTTTAAAATACTTAAAAAGTGAAACTAACTACAATAGTTAAAATCGTTATCATTTTCATCACCAATGTCAGGAAGGAGTAGTTTAATAGTATCTGATGAAAATGATTTTCTATTCCTTCGCTCATTTCTGTGTACTGCAGTTTAGAAAAGAGTCACTGCTTAAAAGTAACCTATTCAGGAAGTGCTTATTTTTGGCCTCGGAAAAATCTTCTGACAATTGTCTAATTACAAAATTGCTTGCTTTATTACCGTACCGCCATGAATAAGAATTTTGTGCATTGTTGGAC